CAGACATCGGTCTTGTTTAACAAAATCATACATTAAAGTACACAAAAATAATAACTTTAGTAGTTAGTAACAGGTGTTCAATAAAATTTTCTATAACACTCCATGCATCAACTGCTGTCCCATTCACTGTACTAAACTCTAGAATAAAACACTCAATTCCAGCCCTTATCATTCAAGTATTTATTAAGCCTTCCCTCAGTCTCCTTTAAATTAACTGTATCTACAACATCTGAACACAATGCATTCCACAGACCAACCACCCTGTTAGAAAAATAAAGATTATTCCTACCTTGCCAAAAGTTATATTCATGTCTCCTAGTTTTACCATTATCAGCATTAAATATGAAAAAAAAATGATGCTTCAACATTATCAATTCCTTTTAAAATCTTATACATCTAAATCAGATCCTCTCTAATTCTTCTTTTTTCAAGAGAAAATGATTTCAGGGATCTTGAGCTATTCTCGTGTAACGACTTTTCCATCCGAGGTATCTCCTCTGAACCCTCTCCAATAATTCAACGTCCTTTCTGAGCTAAGGAGACAAAGACTGAGCACAGTACCTTAAATGTGATCTAAACAATGACATTACCACCCCTTTTGACAATTGTTCAATATTTCTGTAAATACAATCTAAAATCCTATCTGCTCTACAACTAGCAATAGTACATTGCTTGGATGGCTTAAAAGGCTGATCAACTAGAAAGTTAAGACATCTTTCTTCCATAACACTGCTGAGGTTTTTTCCATCAAAATTATAATCATAATTCAAATGTGATATCCTACATGCATTACCATGCATCTGTTATGGTTAAAAGTCATTGCTATTTATTGTCCCAACTCACCAAGTAATCTAAGTCCTTTTGTAAAATAGAAGAATCTTCCTCACAGCCAGCAACTCCCAAAATTTTAATATCATTAACAAATTTAAATAGTTTATCAACCATTCTTTCATCTACGTTATTAATATAAATTAAAAAGAGCAAAGTTCCTAACAATGAGCCCTGAGGTATCCTACTCATGCCATGAATCCAGCTGGACTGAACTCTATATATAGCAACCCACTGCTTTCACCCATCCAGCCAGCTTTCTATACAATGAGCCAACCTATTCCTCACACATGCAGAAATAACATTTAAACAAGCCTTTTATGTGGTAACTTATTGAATACTTATCAGATACACCAAATTCCCACTTGTACCCTCATCTACATAAGCAGTAATCTCTTCAAAAATATCTAAAGATTAGTAATGCAAAATTTTTCCCCAGTGAAACTATACTGACTATTTAACAGTATTTTAAACTTTGTTAAATGACTGCAAAGCATTTTTTTTCCCACCACTGATGTAAGACTAATAAATTATAATTACTCGGACATTTTTTATCTCCTCCCATGAAAATAGAAGTAACATTAGCCAACTTCCAATCTTATGGCACCTACCCACTATTCGAGGACTCAGAAAAAATAGCAGCAAGTGGTTCACAAATCAGTCCTTAACCTCCTCCAAAACCTTTTTGGTAATTATTATTTGGCCCAGAAGCTTTATTGTTCTTTAAATTTCCCAATTTTTTTTCTTAACAAGCTCAGAATAGCAAATGTTCAGGATAAGGAATATTGATTAAATCTTCATTAGTTAAAATTAAAGAAAAAGTAGAATCTAATAACATATTCAACCCATAATCACTGGATATTAGCCTTCCTGTATTATCCTTCAAAGTCTCTACTTCAATCCTAACATTCTGCTTACTTTTAATGCACTTAATGAAATCCTTACTATTAATTTTTCCATTTTCAGACAACCTTTTTTTCATAGTTTTTGATTTCCTGATTTCTCATTTAAGTAACTATCTTTATCCTTTATAATCCTCCTAAACTGCAGTCAATTTAAACTTCTTAAGATTTATAATTATTTTCTATAATTCTATCCTCAATACCTTTTATGAGTCACCCTGTTTTTTTTACTTGCAGCTAGCCATTTTTTTCTATAACAAACATGCCTATTTGGAATATTTAAGAACTTATTTTTAAGATTTTTCCATATTTGATCAGTATCTCCAATTAAATCAGTTGCCAAATTCCCAGCAAATAGTTTTTGTATCATCCCTTCAAATGTCACTTTTTGAAATTTAGAACCAAATGTAACTGAGCAATAATCATTTGCACCCACATTTTCTCCAATCTCCATCCTGTCAACTGTTCATTTACTAGAAGTTAACACTAAATCTAAAATAGCATTTTTCCTAGTAGGTACCCTAACCAATTAGTAAAGAAAACCATCCTGAACAGTTTCCTTCATGATTTTACTCAAAAAGTTTCTAAGTCTCTATGTCTGAAATTAAAATCTTTCATAATTATAACCTCAGTAACAGATGAATTCTTTATCTCATTGCAGAGCTTATGATTAATTATGTTAATGCTTTAAGCATGGGCAACCTGTTTTACCTGTTCTAACCAAGATATTTGTGACCCAGATGAAAATACAAGTCATACAATCCATGCTTTATCCTTCCCTATACTGGAACAGCTATATCGATGATACTTTTAATAGTTTCAGTTCTATCAAACATACTTTCTTTGAACACAAGCTCCATTCACTCTAATATTAACTTCTCCATTGAATATGAAAATAACAAGTAGTTATGTTTTCTTAAATTTAACATTATTAAATCCGACACACAGTTCAAAATGAGAATTCACCAAAAATCCCTCACACAAACTTCTACATCCCCTGGAATTTAGCCTATGAAACCAAACAAAAAATCAATATGCTTCAACACAGCTTCAAAACTTTGCTCAACTGATTATATAAATGAAGAAATCAACTTTATAAAGAATTCCTTCATTCACACCAACAAATTTCCACCAACTATTGTCAAAAAATGTCCACACAACCACCAAAACAAAAACTTCAAACTCACCTCACAAATAAAATTGGTGCTAATACGTCAAACAACAATACAGTATTACACTGCAGTTTACCATTCATTCCTGAAGTCAGTTCAAAAACAATTCACACTTGGAAAAAACTTGGCATTAAACATAAAATGCCTGTCAACTTCAATTTCACTCAAAAACCCAGCCCAAGTCATTACTAAATAAAAATTATATAGAATCACATAATACCAATGTCATTTATAAAACAACATGCAATAACTGTCCAGAATTCTATATTAGAGAAACTGGAAAAAATAAAAAACCAGGTTCACTGAACATAATAAAATCCCTCCCATGTTTACCACCATTGCAACTCAACAAACACATTATTCTAAACAAAAATCAACAAACAAAATAAAGGAAGCCATCTTAACTGAAAAAAAAGCCCTAGTCTAAAACAGCACCCCAGGGTAGTATGATACTTTTTCTAAACTGTTAAGCAATCTCTGGGCACATAACCTCTGTTCCACACTGTATGCATGTGTGTGTGTGTGTGTATATATATATATACACACACATATATATATATATATAATCCTGTGTCTATGCAAACTACTTGTACCTGATGATGACATAAGCTTATCAAAACTTGTACATTTGCAATAGTGTTTTTTCACTACCAATTTAAGTTGTCTCCAAATATTATTTACTGAAGGAGATGTCTTCTGACAGCATAAATACTACTGGTAGTACTATGTTTTGGCCAGATATTGGAATTTCTAAATGTTTCTCACACTGAGAAAACTTAGGTATGAAAAGTGAATCAGCTAATTAGTTTTCTGACATTTATGATTTAGATCTTCTAGCATGACATATGATGAAACACTGTGGACACCTTTATTTGTTACTGTTAAAAAAAAAAAGAAACAAATGAATACTGAATATTAACTAAGCACAACCAGATAGCAATATCAATCACAGAGACAAAGAAATAAATATTTCTAAATCCAAAAGTTAATATTTAAAGTATTAGCTAAGAATGCAAGTGTAAAACTTGGAATGAATGTAAATTAGTCTAAGATAAACTAAAACTAAAAGCAGCCTCAGTACTGCTTTGCACTACACAGTTGCTAATTTAGAACTCATGATATTGGTGGTGGTAGTATATTATTACTAGCATTAGTTATACGAATCTCTCCTTATTCTGACGTTTCTGATACTGTGTCACCCTTATTCTTATTTACGTATTAATATAGTAATACTTCAAAATATTAGTTAAGAATGCAAGCGTAAAACTCGGACAAAATGTAAATTGGGCTAATGTAAACTAAAAGTAAAAGCAGTCTCCGCACTGTTTTACAGTTTACACTACAGTGTTAGTTTAGAACTCATGGTACCGGTAGTAACTAGTATATTGTTAGTATTAGTAGCATTAGACTTAGTATTGTACTTGTATTACTAATCTCGCCTTATTCTGACTCTTCTGATACTTATTGTTAATTACATCATAATATTTATTTTTGATCTTAATCAAAAATATACCATTTTGCACTCTGTCTAAGGCCCCTCGAAGAGCACTCGTAATGTGCCTTTAACAGATCTTGTTTGACTGTAAACAAATTCCATGTCGAAATGGGCGCCATTTTAAAACTAACAGAAAATTTCTACATCAAACGATTACTGACATTGATATGCTCATTAACTTCGGCAAAAAGATATAAGCGCCATGTTTATCCCATGTTCAGATATTTCTAAATGACTCGAATGAGTTAATAAGTTGGGAAATATTTTGAACGTTACCACAACGCAAGGTAATGCATAGGAATTATCGTAAATTGGATCACACGTTCCATAAAACATTTTATTTACAAGGTTCAAAAGTTTCGGAATAACTTATTCCATCTTCAGCGAAATCTGAAATTATAATATAATAACATAATCATAGTTTACTTAGTTATTAAGAAAAGGGGTAAATGGACGGATGAAACAATGTTTATATACGTATATATATTGTTGTGTATCTGCTCGTTTGTTAATTTCCGGTATAAGTTCTTTCCGAGGAACTTCAGCGATACAAGTCCTTTCTTAATTAAAACTAGTTTATTCTTTTTCGACACAACTTTGTAATACATAGAATTTCCACAGTCACTTTAAACTTAACAACCTTTATAACACATGCTATAAATCACAGTGATTCACACAGTTTACTTACGGTGCCTACTGTTCGCTTGACTCAATTATCTCTATTATCAATCTTTATGCATATCTATTTCGCTGGTTTTATTTGCCGGGCTTATATACTAAATAAGAGGGCACCTGGCAAACGCTCGGACATTGGCGAGGTTCCTTGATAAGTCAT